GGTTTCGGTACCCCCATTTTTATTATTGAATTGTAATCAACACGACATGACTCAACGTTTAATTCAATGGTTTTAAAATTTGAGGTAGCTGTTTTGTGGCCACCTCAAATTTCCGAAATATAAAGTGGCTTTGAACACCTCACACAATTTTTCTAAAAATTAGCTAAAAGTTATATTTTAACATTCTAACTACAAATCGATAGTAAAAAGGGGGTTTATTGGACTCGTGTTTGAGTTGTAAACATTTAAAGTAAAAATTAAGCTTGTTTTTACGGGTTATTAAAGTAATCTTTGCGTCACGAAAATGACCGTAACGTTTTAGCCAATGTTTAGATTGGTTTTGTTGATATCTGCTGAAAAAGAGAGACTAAAATTAAAATTAAAGAGTGGCTAAAATTAAACTTGAAGCTAAAAGTAAGCTTGTTTTTAAGGGTTATTAAAGTAATGTTTTGCGTCACGAAAATGACCATAACATTTTAGCCAATGATTAGATAAGTTTTGTTGATATCAACTGAAAAAGAGTGGTAACATTGTTTCATCAAAGAAGATGCGCTGAAAACTGCTGGAAACTGTTGCAAGCCCCCTTAAATGCATCTAATTTTATGCAGAAATTTTGTTTCTTTTTATTCTTTCGGAAGAAAATTAACTCTTTTCCTCTTTATTTTCTCTTTCAGCACAAGTCGTTCTTTTATAAGCTCTGTTACGCCATTGGAACTACCAAAGCCAGTGTTATGAAGTACCAAGCAGTCTGGTTAATAGCTGTAAGTACTGCTGATAAATGAAATAATCAGTATCCATGGCAACCTTTGACATGAAATTGTTCGTTTGAATCAGCGAACGTGAGACAAGACCCTATTTGCAATCGCTCTAATTATTGAATTTATTCCATTGATATTTGTTCCATTCTCCACGAGAAGCAACACGCAGAAACAATCATCATAGGTAACAAAAACTTATGACCATTATCCCTCAAGCTAATGTTGACCGGCGCCAGTAACTAAATGAGGGAATGAATTCTATTTGTTATTAGCCCATTGCATTTTTGTTTACAAATTTCTGAATTTCATCACTCTGTAACTGTGGATAACAGTGAAAAATCTATACACCAGGCCATCCAAATATTGTCGTAACTGTAAGAGGGAGTTAGTTTCATTTGACTGTTTCTTAAACATGGAATTTCCTTGCTGATCTTTTGGTCGAGTCAAAGGAAAATGGCTTTAAAAGTGTTAATGTAGCAATAAGGCGGGTTTGTCCAACAGCTCAGTGACCACCGTATTTGTCCAAGTTCTCATTGTCAATGTTTGTTTGCTGTCATGACAGGAAGGTTCTTGTATCATATCAGGCTTGGGTTATAATGGCCGCTCAGAGGATGGTGTAGTCCGATGGGATGGATGTAGCAATGTCCATCTACTTTTATTTGAAACCGCTTACACATTCCAGGTATTAAACCAATCATTAATCACCGACGAGCAATGAACGAATTATCCGCACATAAGCGAAACCTTTCTCGCAGCCGCTCGAGGAGAAGGGAAATGCCACAGATAATGGTCTCCAAGGAAACTAAAAGATACACAGCGTTAATGGGTCTGGTCTGTTTGCTCGTTTTTTTGCAAACTTATTTCCCATGCCATAGGTTAGCGGCTTATCTTTCCCTTCACCTTTGCAAAGAATAATGGATTTCATGAGAACGACTTTAACAGCTCTTACTTTTCTTTTCAGAGGGTCTGGATAAGGTTTAACCAATATACATGTACGTTGAGAATTGGTCAAATTTTGACGGTCGGCTGAGAAATGAGGCTTTTTTCCCCTGATTGCTGAGATCCGAGGTCTGAAAAATTTGGCTAGAAATGGTCTGAAATGTTAACTAATGGCTGAAAAAATCATCGAAATTTAACTGATAACTGAAATTACAGCAACCCCATCCAGACCACCTTCCAAGATACATCATTTACATGTAAGACAAGTTATTTCTTTGTGACAATCATTGGGTTGCCCTTTACTCTGTACATGTACCTACCTTCTCAAGTGACATTTGCATCATGTTTCCTTTTCCTAACAGTCTTCCCTTTGTTTTCCCACTAGCACGTTATAGATGCTTTTAATTTGAACACTAATCAGTGGATGTTTAGGTAAGAGAGTGTCCTTCATCAATATTTGCGAATATTCTTTCTGGATTCAAATTTTGATATGGTTATTTTTAGCTGTCGCTTTCTTATCTGGAGGTTTTCTGGCAGGAAGTTATAGCAGGATATTTAAAACTCACGACTATTTGGTTTTTCAGTCCTTTGATGGACAAGATATAGTTTTAGCCATTCAGAATAGAGTTTGTCCTTAACTAATCAAAAGCGAAATTATAGTTGCTGCCTTTTCGCAGTTACGGCAAAAATTATCAAATCTAACTCTGTTTTTATTCTTATTCATCTTTACCGCCCCTGCCCCCTTCCTCTCCCCACTGTATAGACGTTATTATTATATTTTTATTACATGTTAGCGTTCCTCTTCTTCACCATCCTTTTTTTCTAATGTCATTTCTGAGAATTTGATGTTAACATGATTAACATCAACATGGTTAAAATAGTTAACATTGTAATATGGTTAACAAGATGGTTTCCTTAATTCTCCTCACCTGTTTGCTTGATAATGTACCTATATTGCAAAGAGGAATTAATTGTTGATCACTGCAGCTTTCCAGGATCTCCAGAATCTGATAATGTCATCTTTTTTTTCACTAGATATTTGTACAAAAGGCTCCGTTTCCTTGGAAATAAACTTCTCTCACACTTTTTAACGCTCGTCTTTGTGGCGCTGTGGCACGGTATCGCTCCCGGCTTCTTCCTGTGTTTTATTGGAGAGTTCGTTATCATTGTTATGGAGCAGCAAGTGAGGAAAACGTAGTATTATAAACCAATAAAGTAAGGCCATTGTGCTCCATCCACACTGAAGCTGCTAAGTGGTGTTATGATCAGTTTACTCGGCGTTCAAATGAACGTTTGGAGAACGTTTCCCTTGTCGAACAGTGTTCTCCAAAATAACATGAAGTTTTGTTTATTCTCGATCATTCGCCATTCACGATGTCGCAAGTCTTCGTCTCGCATACACTCTCGCAACTAATTTTACTCGATCTTATTTTTTCGCGCACATACAGGAATTTCCGGTAACAAACGGACGCCAATTGCCTTTTTTGTCGTAAAGACGTGAGATAACCAGTCACTTCTTGTTATCTTCTCTTCTTTTCCATCCAGCTCTTGGGGCTTTGTCGTCGTGTAGTTCAGACGCCATTCGCAGCTTTCCCGCCGTTATTGAAGATACCCATCATCCTCTTGGGTGTTTGTTTGCGACTGACAGGCGTCGCGTTTTTCTTGATTCCGTTCCTGCTGCGGAGACTGGACTTTACTCACAAGGTAAATTCCCGGATGTAATCGACATCTTTGGAACTTTCAGTGTCCTGAAACGAGACTATCAAATGTTTGTCCATGAGTAACATAAAGAAAGTCTCGAAGGTAGAAAGCTCTTCTTTATCTTGTTGATAAAAAGATAATTAAAGATTTGTTAGTGTAATTGGATGAAGGTAAACTCTTATTTCACCCTAAAGCCACGGTGCAGATTTAACTTTACTAGACTTAATGAGAGGGGGTAATCCTGAAATGGATTATTCGGCGAGGTTCCGTCCGAATAAAACGGTTATTTTTCTTAGGCTGGAGGTATACAAGTATAAATGGTTCGGTATTGCACGAGGTGAAATACGGAATTGGCATGGTTGGAATTGTCATCCAGGCTTTGAAAATAGCTTCCAAAATCCTTTCGAACAGACCCACTTAACATCTGTTTCAACCAGGTTACTCAAACGAAAAGATAAGTAAATGTGGCTATATCATCAGCAGAGTAATAGACATTGGATGGAGTGTTTCTACTGGTAAAGGGATGCCATTTTCAACGGAAGGTATATGATCAGATAGGTTTTCCTTAAATCTTCTGTGAAAACTGGTATAAAACTGGGAAAGGACTTGGATTTGGTGGCCAACCTTGCCGTATGAGACTTTCCTTGACTCCGGGCTGCAATAATCCTTTGTAATTCACAACAAGATGTTTGCCGGGTATTAAGATTATTTTAGGATATTCCTGGGAGCAATTCGGTTTACTTACAGCTTCTCTTTGCTTGTCTCTTTTTTTCATTTTTTGTTCTTTAGGCGTGGCTTTCTCTCTATTACGTGGGCCCTGTTATATTAGTTACTTGGTTTACTCTTTACCCAACGTTTTTCAAGCCATTGGCAAGAGTTCTGAAGAGAAAAACAGAGGATTCGAATAAGAACAAGTAAGACAAGAATAATATCCTGTCCTTCTTAAAACGTATCTCTAAAAAAGCCTAGCTTGAAATTCCTAGTATTGTTTTTTTCTCTAGAACTACCAGCAACTATACATTGCTTCAGAAATGTTTTTAGTTTCTTATGAAGTGATACCTATATTTATTCAACACACAATTAATAAGTGGTGTTTTTTTATTACTTTCTTATTGCTCGGAACTAATTTTGTTCGGTACGCCATCTGATATCAAAAGGTTAGAGCGATTGTTTCATCACTGCTTGTTATAATTCATCAAACTAGCTTTCCATCAAGAAAATCATCTTTTAGCTTCAATGAAGTTCATTAGTACTTAACTTGTCACGTTAGATAAAGTACATCACATCACAACACATCACGTTACATCTCATCATATCAAATCACATTTTTCCTTGTTCTTTTCTTTCAAAGATTAAAAGAACCAAAAAAAGAAGAGTGAAGAAAATTGACCCAGTTGGTCTTCCCAAGTCCAAGCGACCGTGTGTCATGTGGCTTTTATGCTGTTGAACAGTACATGAATTAAAGATAATATTTTTAAGGAATCATAACTTATACATACAAAAGTATTATATTTAATATCAGTCTTGTTAAGACTAATGGAATAGCTCTAATTACAGACGTATGCGGTTTGTGACGTAAAATAACAAGCACTATGAGACGACAGAAATACTCAGTTCGTTTTCATATCTTGATTAAACCGTAATAACTATTAATCGAAGGAAAAGTTGTAATTGTCTTTTTCTATATATTGAATTGAGTATGCTAATTTAAACAGTTGGAATATTAAACTATCGGGATTTTCGTTGTAGATTTCTGACTGTTGTTAACTGTTATTCCGTTTGGCCAATTTTGCTCGTTATGCATCTTTCCCACAGAGCAAGAAAATTTCATGAAAAATGCAAAGA